ATATTTCTAAAGCAGTAAGATATTTAAATATAGCTCTAATCAAACACGGGTTGGATGGTATAAACTACAACTTCTTCTCATATATAAATTGTTTGAGGACTGTTAGTTTCTATGGTTGCTGCTGATGTTCGTTTAGCTATAAGTAGCTAAATTAATGTTTCCATGGAGAGAGTTGCCACTCGGATATAATTGTCTTCCCATCCAGCATACATTCTTAAAGCACATAGACTTATAATTATTTGATAAGATGGATTCGAGGAAGGAAGATGTGATTATAAGCAACTTGACATACAATGCATTTGTCATGTTTTAGGAATCATGATCGTCGACGTATCACTTTAATAAATATTAAAGAATTTTGTTCGAGTTCAATCCAACCAATTTAATCTATTTTGGGATTCCTAACCATGACCATAAATCATGTAGCATCATGTTAATTATATGTTTTATAAGTATTACAATCATAGTTGTAGTAATTATTTTTGTTCGTGTAGCACTGTTATTTCGACGCATTTATAGTGGTAGTTATTATTTTTGCAATTGTAATCGTTGTGTTTTTCAGTTGTAGGATTACAATTCCAATACAAATTATTACTATTCATATTGGTATAGTGTTAACCTACTGCAAGATTAGCACAATATCCAACTATTTTGTTATTTATGTCAAGGTCCATCAATCAAAACGCGGGCAAACAAACATACTGATTTACGCACTCCATTGTCGCTGCAAAATGGTTTTGCAGCATGCCCGTCCTAGTTAATATATATAAACCTAAATACTATTTACTGTTCACTAAGGTGTCTTTTGGCAAGTTGGTATGCGGCAGGAATCTAAACCAATACTATATGGAGGTTCTCCCCCACAGCCCCAACAATCTCAATTTTCCTGGCTCCTCCGCAGAGGATGGAGGGACATATTGGTAATCCAATCATATGCGCAGCGGTGAAGTGAGTGTGAAAGGCTAGGGGATACAATATTAATGGGCCATTTACAGACCAGTAAAGTGACTACGGAATTGGCTTTAATTAATGTGAGCCCTTAATTCCACATGAGAGTAGTTAAAGAATGATATTTTTCTTCTAGGAACTCTTCTCAGCATCCGATTTTTCGTAGCCAGGTAGGCTTCATTTAAATTGTGTTACACGTATCTAAATTATATATATATACAGTACAAAACTTGCTTAGTAGTTATTTCACATGCCTCTAAATTTTTAATAGATATTGATGTCTCACTATCAAGCACTATTAATAAAATACATTTAAAAACTTGCTTATTAGATTTTGCATTAAAAAGTGAATGTAACTACAAATATTTTTATTAGTATAATTATATACATCTTACAATTTAATGTGTGTACATGTCATGCGTTGTTCAGGACAAAAGAGGTTATTTTTATACACTAGAAGGTGTGGTGGATTCAAATCCTTTGCGCGATTCAATTATTCAACAATCGCAGGACAATATGTTGTCAATGCATATGCATTGGTTGAGGCTGAGAGTTTGGGTTAGATTAAAAGAAATCAATCAAATTCGCGACAACATTACTACCAAGGTCTTTTGGATTCTTACTTGAGAGATGCTTCATATACCAGTTTAAGTGGAAAACATGTGATTTTAGCTTCATCACATACATGTAGTCCTTGATATAAGTATTAAAGCTTCCAGAATGCTATGACAATTTGTAGATATCCATATCATTTCATTACATTTACATGTAATCATGTTTGGCCTAAGATTCAATACATGTTTGATTTGATATCCTAATAGAGTTGATGTCCTCACATGATTTTTCAAACTCGAGCTACATCATTTGTTGAAGTAGATTTTGGAGAATAAATTTTTTGGGAAAAATATGCAAGTAAGTTATTGAAGCTTTGAGCCCGAACTGTTGGACCGGTGATGATTTGTGTTATAATAGTTTATATGTGTTTAATGATAATATTTTTGCAACATATGAAATGGTTGTATATGATAGTTGTACAAAATTAAACGATAGATATAATTTAGAAACTCTTTAGTGTAGTGTACGAATGTGACCAGTGATTTACGATGGCGCATGAGTCAGTCGAATGGTGATATGTATTTGAATGATATTGGTATAATTTAGTATTCTATTGAATAGGAACGTGATACATGAACACGTGGTGATGGTCATTTTTGGATTTTTTTTATTTCAACATATATCAAAATGGATATCATTATATAGATCACATAAAATCTGGATTAAAAAAAAAACAAATACAGATTGATTAAGAATAGTAGGGGAATTCAAAAAGAAGAGAAAGTGTGTTCTAGGTGGTATACAAATAAAGAGTTAATAAATTTTTTTGATTGGTCGTAAGAGATGGTGGTGTGGCTGCGTAAAAACTCTTGAAATCTGAATCCATGAGGTTTTAAATTGGAAAAGTCTTATTATATTATATTATATAAATATAGACATAGATATTGATTCAATAATTTTACTTTAAGCATCCATGGTTCATTATTTTTTTTTTCCAAACTATTATTTTACCGTTTTAATTATTATGATATTTTTTTATTGCATATGTAATGACCATTGAATTGAAAAGTCTACCTCATGCTCATTTATTAGTTTTCTTTGTGGCAGAAGCTAAATTATATAGTCCTTCATAAATAGATTTAGTTATATTTTCTGAAATCTCAGATCGTAAAGCAGATCTTGAATGTTATGATGCAGTTGCAAAATCTACGTTTCATGGTCCATGTTGTTTTCAAGGATCTAAAGCTCCATGTACAACTATTGATGGGAATGGTTTTGCTAGGTATCCGAGCCAATTGATATTGGAGATAAATGTGTCTATAATGGAGATGAAGACATTACTAAATTATCTTATACCAATGAATAATTCAATAATTTGGATTCTCTTATTCCCCAAATCGATTCGAACGTTTCAAGTATTTGAAGAACTTAAATTATCTTATACCAATGTGTTACTCGAATTCAAAAAATCACTGTTATTTACGTGATTGACAAATGAATCCGACCGACTGGTCGGGCCTGTAACTAGTTACATTTACATATTTATGTGTTTGTTTATGGTTATTGGTGGATGGCACACGTTGATACTGCATTTGATATTTTTATTGTTACAGGCTACTCAATGGATTCAGAGTATTGTTTGTGAAATAATGTCGATCTGATAACATATCAATAAGGTTTGGTTCTAATTCAATTGCAAATTTGACTCCAACTAATTTTGTTTATAATAGTGTTAGATTGTACCAATTAAAAGAAATGTAATAACAGATCAAAAAATGATGATGATCCTGGCCTATTTTTTAAGACGGTATACATTGAAAGCATATTTTTGATCCGCACAGTCTAACACTGTGAAGATAAACACTCTCATGTCACGTCCATCTTCGTTCTTAATAAGTTGAGAAGATCCGCAGAGTCTTCACCATTAGGATCTCATCCTCCTTCCAAGAAAAATATTTTTATATGTGCTTTCCTTAGGTGCTACTACTCAATCGGTAAACAATTATGGATCCTAACATAAGAAAACTAGATGTGACATTTTCCTATATTTACGTGGTTTCTTTAGTAATTATTTCGTCAACCCATAAATTCATTCAATTATATATAATTTAAAGGTCTAACACAAAAAGTTAACAAACGAGCCGGTAAACAATGATACAAAAATCATCCACAGCGACCGCGACATGAACGCGACATTCACTTTTTAGTTACATTTTAAGTAACATCTTCATAAACTAGCATGGGTCCAGGCCAGTCGGATAGAGGAAGGTGAGGTATGAAATTTGAGAATGTAATGGGGTGTATAACTTATTGTTGTATATTTTTTTTTTAGAAATATGTGATAAATATAGTAAATTTTAGCAAGAAAAAGACATGGATGATGCAACGAATCAAAAAGCAGCCTTATGAACCAAAATCAAGTATCTGTTACCTTGTGAAATAATATTATTTCTGTTAATATGATGAGGTGGAGTAAGTTTTATAGAAACATAATTCCAGAAAACCGAATAAAAATTCGCTTATCCCGCTAGTTTCGGGAAATGATCATCTCACAATCGTTGCTAGCTTTTACTCAGCCAGTTAGCCGATTAATTTGCTTTATACAACTTTCATCTTGTCGTCATTGTGCTTTCTGATTTTTGCCAGGCCATGATAAAATCTAAAGAAATCAATAATGAACAACACGATTTAATATAGGAACCGTCGTTCCTGTATCCCTAGAAATGGTGGTAAGCATGAACTCAGCGACCGAACTGGTTTGGATTGAGATTTTTATCGAGTATCAGGGAACCATGTGATTATAAATTAGGCCTAATCAAAACGGGGCAAAACTTGAAATTCAGCTTGTTTGACCGACTCATGCCAAACTCCAATTATTGTTTACTTTTAAACTTTCTATTTGAGAATAAAAAATAGTGAAAGAAAAGAGATGACAACAATTCACCATTTGCACATCACTGATTCGGGAACAAAACCATAGAAATTCGAAAGGAAACTGAAAAATGGTTAGGATCGTTTTAATGATAAACATAAGGGCTAATGCCACTACAACACCCAAACTATCCGGGAAATGCCACTTGTGTCCTATTGTTTCCAATATTTCATTCATCTCATGAACTATTATATTTTGTGCCATTTGTATCCTACCAATTTCTTTGACCGTTAAAGATAACAGTTGACCAAACGGCGGTCAACTTAACATTGAATTTTGCTTATGTGGCAATGCCAAGTCATTGACACCTCAAATTTTTAATTTAAATTAAATAAAACTTTGAAAATTAAAATTAAAAAAAAAACTTTAAATTTAATAATATTTTTTTAACCTAATATTAATATTATTTCTTAACCTAATCTCTTCTCTTCCCTTCTCTCTGCCTCCGTTCTTCCTCTTCTGACGACTGCAAACTGTGCTTCCTCAGCCACCGCCAGAAACATCGCCATCGGGATCTGAGGATAAGCGGGTGGAAGAGCCGCCACCGGAGCCACTGCTTCAAACAATGTTCCGCCAGCTCGACCTTCGTTTGCAATCCCTAATTTCGAGTTTGGGGATCTGGACGGGATTGGCGGCAGGGAGAATTGCAACTCGCCGGGACCTGCAACTGGAGAAAGAAGCTGTGAATAGTGACTCTAGCAAAATTCGTCACCAGATCCATCTCCATCGTCGCCTCCTACTGGCGATTATAAGCTCGGAGAGGCGAGCCTTCCATGGACCGGCGACGAATCCGTCACCAGATCCATCGCTCTTCCGTCGCGAGTCAACCTCCTTTCCTCCTCGCTTTCGTCGTCGCGGCAGCAACAATCGACCACAACTTCGGAGAGCTTCGTTCCAAACCCAAGCAGAAGAGAAATTAACTATGCCCTTGCAAATCCAGAAACTTTGGGACCGGGAAAGACGCGAACTAGAAGGCGAGCTCAGCCCAAATCCGCCAACTCCGATTCCCAAACGAAGCCACCTACAAGGACTCCTCTCTCTTCATCGTCTTCATCGTTGCCGATTTCCCCCTCTCTCTCGGATCCTCTCCTGCCCCGTCTTCATCATTGCCGATTTCCCTCTCTCTCTTGAATCCTCTCCTACCTCTACAACGGATTTTTCTTCAGAAGTTGCAGAGAAAGAAAGTGAATTGATTTGAGTTATTGTTTTATTTTTTAAATTTCCATAATTTTTATTTTGTTTTCCTTATTTTAATTATTTTAGATGGAAAAATAAATGAAAATTCCACGTCAGATGCCACATCAACGCTGACTGGATTTTTTGTTAAATACTAACGGTCAACGCCGGTCAATACTAACGGAATAATAGTTTAAGACACAGATGGAATCTTGGAACAATAGGACACAAGTGACATTTTCTGGATAGTTCGGGTGTTGCAGTAGTATTAGCCCTAAAAATAACCATATGAATCTTTTTGTTTAGTTTTTTACTAACAAATACCAAATGATTGCCTATAAAGTACATTATAATTCAAACATTATGATATCAAATAATTACATAATATATATTCGAAATGATAAAAATTGGACTAATTGGGTTGGTCGAGGTTGAACCATTTAATAACTTTAAAATACATTATATTTTAGCCACTAAGATATAAAATAATAGCATAACATTTGTTATGTTAGAGAAAATAGTTTATTTTAGGATGGCAAACCATAATGTTCATTTGTTTTACTTCATGGCCAAATCCAGTATAGATCAGGCTCTTTCAACTCTTTTATCTTATGGTTAGCGGTTAGCCCATTAGAATCCACGCATTAGTTTATTGTTAAATTTTTTCTTTTTAGCTTTAAAATTAAAAAGGAGTATTGTTTTTGCCCTTTCATATATATCTTATCAACACCGAGAAATAAAAGGGCTTAAAGACACCTGTTTTGTTTTTGTGGGCCGCAACAATTCCTGATCCCGTTTAAATCCGCATGTGTACGGTAAATTGGCCCGTTTCACAGAGGAAAGAAAAAAAAATTGACACTCCCTATTCAACTCTTCCTACAAACGCTCCTAGAGCAGGAAAATTTGAAATGAGAGAAGAGTTTTTTCCTTCTTGCTATTATATTATGTGTAGATAGATTTAGTTTTATAGTCAATGTTATGATTTTCTTAATAATATAATAATTTTCATTTTAATAAAAACTTGGGCCACATCTACTTTTTGGGCCTCCAAAATTCTTCGGCCTGCCCTCGATATTAATGTGGACTGCTCCGGTGATGTATTTATCAACAAACCACCCACCAGACCACAACCCACAGTTGCTGACTTGTGTGTGGACTCAGGACTGGAGGCAGGAAAGAGTTGTACGCATAAACCAAACAAACAAAACCATTATGCCAAAAATATTTGCTTCTACTACAGCAAAAACAAAAACAAAAAGATGGAAAAGAAAGAACTCCGCAAACACAATCGCGTGTCTGACAATCCCCCCTTCAACAGCCCCTCTTTTCGAATTTAATTTTCCCTCTTCCCTCTCTCTATCTCTATAGCGAGTTGATGTAAGTTGCAAGTAAATTTATTGAGTCTTTCGAGTGGAGCTATATTGTTGATTAATATCAGGAGCAGAACCCAAATTAAACTTAAAATATATATATATATATATATCTACCCATGCATCAAGTGGATCCACCGTATGATGTTTCAATAAACTTTATCTGCATTAATATAAACTATGGTGTACTCATTTTGTTTTGAAACTGATTGTCTTACGGCGGAAAACGATCAACCATCACAAACCAAACATAACGCCACTACATTGGTCGACTATATTGACACATGATCGGTCAAAGTTTCCATCATATCCTAATAAATTTTAGCTGTGTTTTTTTTAAATAACTTTACAATTTGAACCTCGATCACGATGAATGAAATCATATCTATATTATCATTGAGCTACAATTCATGATCTAATGTCCAATAATATTTTTGAAAGATTCAAACTAGCAGACAAATTTTTTTTAGGATATCAAACTGGCAGACTATGAGGGATAGATTTAGATGTAAGAAGAAGATGTTTTGGAATATGAATTTGTAACCTTTTTTATTATTATGGGAATATGAGGAGCTATATATATATATTACTATTATGAGTTAAAGAGGTAAGTAAGAGTGTGTGTTTCGAGAGAGAGGGAGAGTGAAAAGTTAAAAACCCGTCAAAGCTAGCAGTAGGAGTTTCCTTGTTTTGCCAAACCCAGCAGAGCAGGAGGACCGTACATGCAGTGGAGTGGAGTGGGTTTCAGAGCCACGTCATGATTACTAGCTACTATTCACAGTTTAACACTATAGGACTAGAAGTTTCGTACAGGTATTTGAGGTATATCGAATACCGTATCGAATTTGTTTATATTTGGTATTACCAAATACACGTATTATTTCTTGGGATTGATATTGGGATTGGGTCATTGGTATTAAATTTCAATTATTATTCGGTATTAGGGATTATGGGATTGAGATCGGTATACCGAAATACCGATCAATACCGAAATATAAGCTAGTGTGTATTTTATCATCTCAACTAGACTCTCTCATTAACAACTACATGACCCTCAACCACCAAGAGTGTCATTTAATTATACATAGATCATTTCATCACTATTTCACAACTTAGAAGTCTCCATCCAACTCAAATTTGTCTTTCCAATTTAAGTCACACTCGTTTCTCACCTAATATCTCTTGTTATTTTCATAACATCAAAAAGCAAACACTAGTATTAGTCGTCTCTCGACCTCCAATTCGTCAAATTAAAGATTATAAATTACAAGAGCTTAAGATGTCACATCTCCTCGGGATTTTTCCAAAAGCAGCACTGTTAAAAGAAAATTCCAAAAATAGCACCCAACTCCGAAAAATTTCAAAAATAACACCCTTTCTGCAAAACCGCCACCCGTACCAGCGGTTTAGGCGAAAACCGACACCCGGGAGCGCGTTTTTCGATGAAAACCGCACTGGTCGGGGGCGGTTTTGAAGGCCGCACCCCCACCATGCGGTTTGGTTGCAGACCGCACCCCCACCATGCGGTCTGCTTTTTTTTTTTAAAATCCTAACCTAGGTGGAAACTTAAAACGAATGTATATTTGTGTTCAGGAATCCGATCGCCGCGAATTATTTTTTGATTCCGCATAACCTTTTGAGATCTTGCAAGCCGAAGACTACTGAAGGTGGTTTGGTCCCGCCTTCGTCCCAAAAAATGTCGTTTGCTACCCCGAACGAGCTTTTTTCCGATTTCGTCAAACTTTGGACAACCATAACTTTGTGCTCCAAAATCCAAACGACATGAATTTTTTTTTCGCATAACTTTTTAAGGACTACAATTTTTACTAAGAATGAATTTCCAAAACATGAATTATTTTTGGTTATACAGGATTTTGGGAATAGCTTACCTTCCCTTCTCAGCAATCCACGTACAATTTGAAATTATGTCTATGATAAAAGTTGTATTCCTTAAAAATTTATGCGAAATAAAAAAAAATTCATGCCGTTTGGATTTTGGAGCACAAAGTTAAGGTTGTCCAAAGTTTGACGAAATCGGAAAAAAGCTCGTTCGGGGTAGCAAACGACATTTTTTGGGACGAAGGCGGGACCAAACCACCTTTGGCAGTCTTCGGCTTGCAAGATCTCAAAAGGTTATGCGGAATAAAAAAAAATTCGCTACGGATACCCGAACACAAAGATACGTTCGTTTGAAGTTTCCACATAGGTTAGGATTTTTCAAAAAAAAAAAAAAAAAAAGTTGACCACATGGTGGGTGCAGTCTGCAACCAAACCGCATGGTGGGGATGCGGTATGCAAAACCGCCCCCTACCAGTGCGGTTTTCATCGAAAAACGCGCCTTCTGGTGGCGATTTTCGCCTAAACCGCTGGTACGGGTGGCGGTTTTGCAGAAAGGGTACTATTTTTGGAAGTTTTCGAAGTTGGGTGCTATTTTTGGAATTTTTTTTTAAACAGTGTTACTTTTGGAAAAATCCCCATCTCCTCCATTTTACTTATCCGTATCCTACCTATAGGCAAACTCAAGACACCTTACTTAGTCTCTTTGCCCTAAATTAAACAATCAAATCTGATTTATATATTTAATTTTTAATTGCAAAGGTAATTAATTTCATATTTGATAATACCGATTGGGATACCGAAGTACCTATTGAGATACAGTCATACCAAAATATTTAGGGATTGGGATTGCAATTGAGTTTAGAATTAAATTCAGTATTTATGATTTCGATATTTGGTATTGGAAGACCGATACCGTACTGATTTTCACACATGCACACTACTTAAGCTATATACGATTCTCTCTCGCTCTCGCTCTCGCTCTCGCTCTCGCTCTCGCTCTCTGCCTCTCTACAGCAGCTCATGCATATGATATGAAGAAGCCTTTGTGGGTAGTTGGCTCGTGCTGCAGGACGCAACCCAAGCGGACACATGAGCCTGACTTGACCCGACCGCGTCCAACTAAGGTGACCTCATATCATCAGCCCATTCCAATCACCGGTCGGCCTCCTCACGTGAAACCACAGGACCCCGAAACTAACGCCTGTTTGGTTCCAGTTCCATTCCATCTCTGCCCACTGACTTACTTCGGTAAGTTTTTTTTTTTTTTTTTTTGTGAATTACTTCAGTAATGCAGTAAGTTAAACAAACTAAATATGAAAAGGTCAACTAAATATCCAACGTGGCCATCTGCCCAAAAAAAGTTACTCCAGAAATCTACCCAGCCTGCCTGCCTGCACGGTCTCAGTCTCTGCCTGAAACTCAGTCCCGACTCACGACAAACGGTTGGGATGAATAGTTTTGAAAAGCTATAAATGAAATTCATAATTAATTATTCAGTATTTTTTCATAATACATAAATAAGATGGATAATTAATAAAAGGGATATTATGGAGATAATTAAGATTAATTATTTTAATAGATTATATTTTAATTATGAGAGTAATTATCTCTCTAATTAAAATGTGACTTATTCCCAAAGAAATATGAAATATTCTGGTTTTTCTGCTCCTATAAATAACAGACCCCCAGACCCTCTAAAGATACCTCAGAGAGCAGAAACACGAGAAAGAGAGTGAGTTCATAGAGCTCCGGTTTTCGCACAAAACAGCTGAGCAAATCGAAAGAGTGGTTGTTTTATCCTGGAGACGACCGG